TTGCATTTCATCCCCTGTCAATACAAGGAGACAAAGCAAAGAAAAATGAAATCAGAATTTTAGGGCTGGAATGAATCTTAAATACTGTCTAGTCCAAACCTTTGGTTTTACAGGAGCATTTTTTTTCCAGAGTGCACTTACAATACTGTTTGTTTTTTTAATAACAATTCATTAACACAGCACACATACATAGTTGGTGATAGAATCTGAATCTAACTCACCTAAAATTTTTTTTCCCCTAACATTTACTGACTTTCTGGCAGTTGCCCCAAGTTATCAGGCAACTCAAAATTATAGCAGTAGTCAGATATTCTGTATAATACATAGCATAGTAGTTCTCAGTGGTGAATAACCCTCACCTGTGAAGCTTGTTTTTTAATATATAGCCTTTCTTGGGTTCCCTCCTGAGATTTTGAATCTGTAGGTTGGAATAGGGCTGGGAAAAAATCCATGTTTTTAATGACCTGGTAATTTTAAAGTGTGAAGGGCACTGCCCTTAAATACCAATTTCAGGGGGGTAGAGGAGAGACCAAAGAAGTGATGTTAGCACTTAAAGTTCTCTAATGCCTTATTTCCTATAAATTTCAGCTGCTTGGGTGTTTGTTCCTTTGTAGAATTTGTTTCCCTCTTACATGGATGTAAAGGCAGAGGAGAGACGCTGAATGATTATTTTTGTTCCTCTGTCATTAGAACCGTAGGGTCATTATGATAAACTGAATTTATGTAACTGTGTGGTATTACACATGATGAAAGGAAATCTGTTTTGAAGTGAAACAAACTGAGAATATTTGGACAAGATGCTAACTTGTCACTGCTGAGATATTAGTAAAGTTGAGCAGAGAGTATTAGAAAACTCAGTATTCATTGAGAGCAATGGCATAGTACTGGTGTATAATGAGATACTTTCTACTTTAGCAACTGGAATGTTCTCAGATGCTGCCTAATTATGCATAGGTGCTAAGTGAATATTAACAATTATGGGGCTGGTTGAGTATCATGTGTGTTAGGTTGAGTATCTTATATCCTGTGGAGATCTCTTACTGTGTAGTTGTTTAGCTAACTCAGTAACTAACAGGCAGGAATATGGTTTTAATTGAAAAGAAACAACTGGCATTTAAAAGCATTATGTTCTGAAAGGAAAGTTTATGCTGGACTAGTTTATTCCAGGTCTTTAGCTATGTCAGTATAAAGTGAATTCATTATATAAAAATGGATAATAGTCTAGGTTAATGGAATATAACAGTTGAAAAGAGAACTTTTTGCAATGAAATAATCCACACCTTGGAAGTCTGAAGGACAGGAAACCACCAAAATCATGTTTGGAGTTTTTTTGTTTTGTTTTGTTTTTTTAAGTAATTGCAAGTGAATTTACAAATACAATCTTAGTTTTAAAAAAGTAGATAGAGGTTATTTCAGTCTATCTCATTGTTACTCAAATTTTTGTAGCCATCTGAGAAAAAAGAGGTTGAATTCTCTGGGGTTCTAATTGTAGGAATTTGATGCAAAGAGAATTTTTGTAAAGGAGCAGGCACAGAGAGAACAGGACTATGACAAGAACATCTGTAAAGTTACTACTAAGCTCATATAAGGAACTTTGTGGGGAATACCTCTTAAATAGTTTTTAATAATTTGGTGTTTTAATCTAAGGACTTAATTATAGCTTAGTGGATATACTATTTCCGGTCCTATTACTGATTTTTATCACTTTGATGATAACATATACCCTAATAATGACTGACTCGTATATATTTGACTTTAAAAACTATTAAGATGAGGAAAAGAGTCAGGAAGCCTAAAATTGGCTGTTTGCTAGGTTTAGCTCATCCATGCAATAAATGTATATATTAGATGTACTTAACCTCTATGGGGTAAGTACCTAAAAATTATATGGAAATTGATTACTTTTGAATGTAAACAGTTTTAAATAAAATCTGTAGTAATTCCTTTTATTGTTAAAAGTCAGGCAACACTAACTTAAACTGTTTGTAAATTTGATTCTGAATACTATATTGGGCTTTTTCAAAGTGTAATTTGTATATGCATATAGGATACGAGCATGCATATATGTACAGAAGCCCTTCAGAAAGAGTTCACCTTCCTTTTATAAACACTAAAATTCAACTGTGCCTGTAAAATGTTTTTGCTAACATTTGCATCATTGACTCAAATTTACACCTTCCTCTTTGAGGTACGCTACCAATACTATCTATGCATGTAGACATTTGTCCGCTCCCTCTTCCCCTGCTCAGTAAGGCAGTTAACTCTAAAAAATATTGTGACCCTTTCTATAAAATGTTCACAAAACATCAGCATATTCCGCTTATACAGCTTATGTTATATAAATTAATTATACAGAAATTTATCCCCTACACACAAGGAATTTCTATTTTGTAAGAATGTAGCTTGTTTATCAGAGTGCAATAAAATCTGGTGTAAGAAACAACTGTTGAGTGGGTTAAGTGATTATTCTGAATGTATTTACTTTTCTCTTGTCATTTATTTGAGGTGGTGGTGGAAGGAGGTTTTGATATCATAAGGATGAAGTTTTGACAAGTTTTTAAAATTGCAGTGGACATATGTTGGCATATTTTGGTGAGATATGTTAATGTAACATAGAAAGAAACTACTGGAACCCAGCATGACCATTCTTCATTTTCTTTGTGCATATGTAGCAGCAGCTATCACATCTAAGGCTATAGTAGTCCTTCCAGTCTGAGTCAAATGAGGACTTTGAAAATTAACCTGTGATGTCCTTAGGATTGGTTTACAACATTGCTGAAAATTAAATGAGTACCCGTAAAATAATAAAATATCACGTATCATTTATATAATATATACATACACAGTGTACACACAGAGTTAAGATTCAGCACAGCAGGGGCACCTGGGTGGCTCAGGTCATGATCTCAGGGTGGTGGGATTGAGCCCCACGTTGGGCTCTGCTCAGCAGGGAGCCTGCTTCCCCCTCTCTCTCTGCCTGCCTCTCTGCCTACTTGTGATCTCTCTCTCTCTGTCAAATAAATAAAATCTTAAAAAAAAAAAAAAAAGATTCAGCACAGCAAACTGGGCTACATTTGCAACTTTTAGATTGGCCTGGTTAAAGATAATCTGGGGATTAGTACCAGTTTGTGAAAAGTTTATATTCTGGTGTGTCTTCTTTTACTAAATGTTCTTCCTTTGTACACTTCATTCTCCTCCTTCAAAGTAGGCCTTTCATTTTATTTGAGTCTGTCATTTCTACCCTTAATCAACCTTGAATCTCCCCTCTGTCCTTAAAACATCAATATTTTTTTTCTATTAAGTTGACTTCTTGGGTATTTTGTGATTTTTCATAACACAACATAACTCTATTATTAATTATGAAGTAGACTATTCACTTCCCATATTTCTTCTGTTTAATTATGGTACTCTGAAAAGAAGGGAGTACCTTTCCAAGAGACAGCCTTCCTTAGCAAGACATGCTTTGCTCCTTACTAAGTCTAGCACCTGCTCCGTTCTCAAGGAAAGCTACCAAGGTTGGAGACCTCATCAGCTCCCTCTGTGCCAGCAACCTTTCTTCTATCTACATTTCCACCTTAATATGTTCTTCCTCAACCAGAATGCTTATTTGCCTGGTTATATCGTACATCTTCATACCTCTGACTTTACCAAACTCCTTCCTCTGCCTAGAATGCCCTTCCTCTGTCACCTTTACCTAGCTAACTCCTACTCATTCTTGAAGACCTAGCAAAGGCATTCTCTTCCTCCAAGAAGCCCAGTGCTCCCATCCTTGCCAAGGCTTTTTTGTGACTGTGAGTCCTGATTATCTGTGTTTCTCCTGAGACCACGAGCTCTTGTGGGCTGGGATCACTGAGTCTTTGTGGTATTTTTTTTTTTTTTCCCCTTTTTGTTTAGTCTAGAATCAAGTACCTGTTGCTGGACAGTGAGGTGGAGATGATAGGCAGAACCATTGACACACATTTGCTTAGTTAATAGAGTTAACAACCGTTTTTGAAGACTAAACATGTAAAATTCCTGTCTATGCCAAAAGTCGCTGCTACCTGAGAACAGTATGACCATTGGACTTTTAATTCTGCAGGTGTCTTTCCTTCATATCTCATGTAGAGACCTAACTTAACTGTATATTCCATTAAATGCAGACATATGAATGATGATCTGATAAACCAGGTTTAAGAAACTGTTAAAATTTTACCAACTTAAATTGGCAAACCAGACCTACAGTAATACGGTTTATTTAGAGTATGGCGCTGGTGTGAGTCATGGTATCAAGACCTTTCTGTCATCTCTCTAAATGATTGTATTTAGAAAACTTTTATTTTCCTTAAGAAAGTTCTTTGTCTCTCAAACTGAGATTCAAAACTAAAATGTCAAAAATACGGAATACCTGCCCATTTACGTGATCTAATACTTCAGTTTCTAAAGACAATCCTTGTTCCTAAGAGCCTTTCTGTCATTATAAATAAATAAGCCATTCCTCTTGGCCAGATCTGCCAGGCAGCACTGTCAGTCCTATCACTGTGAGAGTACATCACCAGCCTGATTTGTACTATAAGGGTAGATACCACTCTGCTTCTTTATGTCCATTGACCACTGAACAGATTGAAAAGGGTGTGAAGACCTGCTTTTCAGGATGTTAGTGAAAGTCCTTCCGTACAAGTCAGATTTATCTTCATCTTCCCTCTCTATCCTAATGCTCTTTTCCATGGGGTGACTCCTGACATAGGGCAGCCCCCTGTTAATCACATGCCTGCACAAACTAAAAATTACAGATTTCCTGTGAGCTCCACCTTGAAGTTGATACTGCTTGCTTTCAGGTAAATTCCATTGTATGTCCCGTTTTACTCTTTTGTTTGTATTTTTATATGGGAACTTTGGAGCACATTTGCAAGACTGGGAAGAACAATAAAGGTTAAGAACAATGGAGGAATTCTGTATAAATAGCAACCAAAAACAATTACTTCAGTGACTTGATTAAAAAGAACTCAAGTGTACAACTGAGATCTTTGACGTTGTAAGTGATTTTTCATGTTTATTTCAAAGTAGCTTGGGAAGTTAGTCTTATTAAGTAGGCCTATTCGCAAAGCAAAGCAGATAAAAAATAGCAAGTAATAAAACAATTGTTATGACATTTTAAACTACCCTTTCAGTACATTTGCACATTCTGGATAAAGTTCTGTAAAACAATTGAGAGCTTCTGGGAAAGGTATCTTGAGTAACATTGCTCAAATTGAGTATGAAATACTTTGTGGTCCCTTCAGCATCAGGATGCCTCATACTCTGGTTGTCTCTTGAGTTTTTATGATACAAGCCCCTGGTACATGAAGTGATTTCACACCATGCCCAAGATGCGGGCCACCCACCAGCTACATGGCATGACAACTCTGCAGGCCGAACGGCAACTTTGATAATTATAAGGCCATGGGTAGTAGCCCCCCAGGGGCTCACAGATCTTCTGGCAATGAGTGTAGCTCCGTCTACATTCTATACAGCAGATTCCTTCATGATCCAGTCTAGGGTCAAATGTCATGCCTTCCCCCTCCTGCTGCTGTGAAATAAAAGGCAATTATTTCATTTCCTTCATAATAAAAATTTTGTAGCATGCACATTATTCTAAAATAAGATCCTGAATGTTTCATTGGTATAAGAAATCAGCATAATTTTCTGTAAGAGGTTTTCAATCTTATTAGACCCTTATAATTCAGAATTCCTTCTAAAGTATCAAGGAACGTCCATCTGTCACTGGAAGGAAGGTTGTTTTTTGTTTTTAATATTAAACAGTTTCTCCATGCCTTTAATGAGCTAGGATTCCCACTCAATAGTGACTCAGCTTGTTTTAAGTTAGCCAAACAAAAAGGAGACATTGAAAAGTAGCATTTCTGTGACTACTGACTTTTAGTGGAACACTGATGCCATTTTGTACTGATGGCTTCCAGGTGCCGGAGCACCTTTTGAAATTCATTGATCTAGGCTAATAGATTGCTGTGACAATTGCACTGGCTGAGAATGCTGGCATCATTTAGATTTCTGCCTTCATTTTAACCTTAAGGGTTCTATAACACTCAGGAAAAGGCACCATATAATGTCCAAAAATTCAAGATCTTAAACTTTATTTTCCTATGTGCCATTATTATTATCTAAATAAAATTATGGATGCAGTAAAAATCACCTACACAATCCCCATTTTCACTGCTGGAGATATCACAGAACTGGAAGGAAGCTGACCTCTGCCAAATCTGTGTATCTGGTTTTCCTTTTCATAGGTTCCTAGGGGTTTAGATTCTGAATTCTCTGTTACTGAGTTACATTGCCAAAAAGCCCTTAATGTGTATTTTTTTTTTTTTTTTAAGAATGTGTATTCTTAATTCTCTTGAAATCTCTCCTTGAGGGACTCGAACCTGGGGAGATGCAGCACCAAATATAGATTAGGCTTGAGCAAAGTGAACCTTGGAATGCTATCACCTTTTCTGGTATACCAACAAGTCTTACCTTTTGGTGGTTGGGGGGGTGCTTTTTATTATTGGGAATATCAAACATACTTGAAAGGGGAAAAAACTGTGAACTGAACATGTAGTTTTGACAGTTCCACTAACCTTTAGTCAAATTTGCTTGATCTTTTCTGAAGTATTTTAAATTTTGAAGTGACTTTAAAGAGAATTGAAGGTATTGTGACATTTCACACATACATACATTAGGGTGTGCCTCTAAAACAATATTTGCCTACATAACTACGATGCCATTATCATACCTAACAAAATTGACAATTCCTTAACACCATCTGATAGAACTTATGTTCAAATTTAATCGTCAAAATATTTCCCTTACTCTTAAACCATTTTTTTCTTTATTCTTCAGACTCTTTCCATTTTCCCCCTCCTTATCTCTCGAACTAGGTTCATCTGAGACAGCAAAAAGAAAACTACCTCATTAATTGATTACAGCTGATTTTTCCAGGGTGTGGGGCGGGGGGTAGTCAAAAGCCTGTTTGTTGAGGCATTTCCTCATCTGAGGGTTAAACAAAGGTTTGTTAGGATTTGAGAGCTGGGAGGAAATCTCAGGTTGTTGCCCCAGGATACCTCCTGAAAGGAACATGTGAAGGACTGAGCTCCTAGGGAGATGTTTCTTCTTAAAGCTGAGCACGAAATAAAGGAAAAACTGATAAAGAATTGGAGTTTTTCAAGGAAAATGGATCACTCAAGTCTGGAAGCAAGACAGGCAAAGTCACATCCTGCCCCTGTGAAGGGGCTGATGCCTTCTCCCTTGAGCCAGATTTACCTAGCTCAGCTACCTGGAGATTAAACTATATTAAATTTTCTGTTTGCCTATTCAGATGTATTTCTCTCTTTTTACTATTTGAGCTTCAGGGGATGAAGTACTGTGGTGGTCCTGAGTTTTCCAATAAGCTTAGGTCATTTAAAAAATACTTTTGGTTCTAAAATCTTTCTAAAATATGTTAGTCTAAAACTAGAAAATAAATTTGCAACATGTGAAACACTATAAAACTGAAGAGGCTACACAGGAAAAAAAATAGATGAATTGGCCTAAGAAAAGATGCTCAACCTTACACATAATTAAAGACCGGCAAGATGAAACAATAAGAAGATACAATTTTACATCCGAGAGAGTGGTAAAGATTTTTTTTTTGAAGTTTGATAATAAATGAGCCCCGTTCATTACAATTGAAGACATGAAGCTGGTGTAATTCCTTGGGAGACAATTTGGCATCCTCCATTAAATAATGTAAAATTACCATCTCCTTTGACCCAGTAGACCCATATATCTGTATTTATGCTAAAAAAAAAAATGCCCACACATGTACAAGAGATATATATATAAGAAGACTAATAGTTAAACTGAGCAAGTTGATGCCTACTGTGTGCCAGGCACTGTCTAAGAGCTTTGCCTGCATTACCTCATTTACTCCTTCCTGTGACCAGGTGGGGCATATACAATGTTGTGTACTATTAACGGTATTTTTTAAGAGCAAAAGATAGGGTGATAATTTACATGTCCACCAAAGTAAGACTAGTTAAATTTCTGTACATCTATCCACACAATGGAATATGATGATGTGGCCATTAAAATAAATGAGGTATACGTATGTAGGAGACAGAGCAATCTCCAAAATACTGTGACTGGAAAGAAAGCAAGGTATAGAAGTTTGTATTCTCTATGGTGTTAAAAATGTGTTAATGAGGTACACTCTTGTGCAAAGAAAACTGGGCTGTGGGAAAGGTGTCTGAGATGGAAGGGTAACACATTTTTTACCCTTTTATAAACTTTTTAAAAAATGCATTATTTTTCATTTAAAATACTAGTTACAAAAATTTACTATTCTTTTGCTCCCTTCACTTACGGTAAATAAATTTTTTTGAAGATTTGAGAAGTCTTTAGCACGTTAGTGCCATCCTTATAAATAGCAGTGCCCAGTGTTTCAGTCTGGAGTGTTTTATCTGTGTGTATGAGTCTGTCCCCCACCTGGACTGAGAGCCCCTGAGGGCAGAAGCTAACTCCTTTCTGCATGCACAGGGCCTGGGAAAGAGCAGGTTCTCAGCAAATGTCTGCTGAATGGATGAATAAAGTGGATATAAAGGGGGGGGGAGAGAATACTTTCATTCCATGTACTGTCCCCAGGGCACATTCTTGGAAATATCTTTTGAATAATCAAATTCCTGATACGAATTTGTCTTCACGGATTTGCCTATGACTCAATAAAGGGGAGAGCACAGAAAAAACTTTGAATAAGGGTTACAACAAAACTGGATTTCGCACTAGAGAGACCATGCTTAAGTGTCTTACCCTCATTTTATAAACTTTGTGACAAATTCATATGTATTTTTTTAAATAATTGAATAAAAATCCAAGATGATTATTAAGTGCTCATTTGAAACCTCAAGTAGAAATAACCACCACTTCAATGTTCTATTCAAGGGATATGTCTGAGCGATCAGGAAAATAGCAGTACGTACATGGTAAGGGTTGTCTGGGTTAAAGGGTTCTGAATCCTCTTGAACACTAGGTCTGGTTCCGTTACTTGGTCCTCCAGGGCCTGGGTTGCCCTGTGGTCCGCTGTGTGGTCTCGTAGTAGTTGTAACAATTTTTCTTACCAATTCTCTTCTTTCTCTCTGGATTTCTTTTAAAAAAAAAGGTTTTTTGCTGTAAGTTAATTCATTTATTTGGATAACTGAGGAAGTATTGTGTTTATCAAGGTAAAAGCATAAAGGGGTATCAAAACACATTCTTGTCTCATTATTGAAATTTGTTTTGAGGAATTTTTAATAGTTTCAGAGTCTTAGGTTAATACTTAAAGATACAGATAACTAAGATTTGGTTTTATAGTCCTGAGGGAGATACTGTGAGCTGACAAAAATCCATTCTCAATTCTCTGTTTCCTTATGTGCTTCTACTATAGGGACTGAGGAAGTAAAATACCACTTGTTTCCGCAGCCTCCCTTCCAATTACGAGAGACCAGTTGGAACATTTCTGGCCAGTGAGATGTAAGCAGAATATGTTGGTGCAGTTTCTGAGGAAGCTTTTGATTTCTTGATAAAAGAGGACTGAAACAGCTTTCTCTGTCTTGTCTTCTTGAACATAGATATATCTGGGTTATGAGAGCCAATCTGTGACCAGAAGGGATAGGGGCAAGAATGATAAACCAGTATGCTGTGGGTAGCAAACGGTAAGCTAGGAAAGAGCCTTGGTGATATCCCTGAGTAGCTGCTAATGTCAGAAACCGACCTCCAGACTTCTGACTAAACCCTGTATTTATTGAAACCACCAATGATCAGGTATTCTGTTACTTGCAGTCCTGAGCATTCTCTTTCGTTGTTGTTTTTTAGTAGGCTCCACACCCAGCATGGGGCTTGAACTCACAACCCTGAGATCAAGAGTCACATGTTTTACCAGCTGAGCCAATGAGGCATCCCAGCCCTGTACATTCTTAGTAGATTGACCGTATGTGTATGAAGCTTTATAGTTTTCAGGAGATTTGTTATCTTGGCTGATTTTTTTTTTTAATCCTGTAGGAGGACAGAAAAAGCAGATACTTTTATATATGGGGGCATCAAGGCTCAGAAAGACCAAGACACTTGGCCAAGATCACAGAATGGGTGACAGAAACAGGAGCCAAACGTGAACTTCTCTGGCTCCCAGCCCAGTGCTCTAGTTCCTCACACCACCACAGGGGGCCTGTGGCATGACCCATGGCTGCCGAATAACTTGTGGGAAGTCGCACACAGCTTTGGCCTTGGTGTCTGAGTCTTTATTCATCTGTAGAATGGAGGTAATGTATCCAGTTCACAGAGTAGTGATAGAGAGTAGAGCTGTGTCTAAGGGTTTTAGCATAGCATTTGGCATAAAATTACTCAAATGTTAGGTGATGATGACTACATAATGCTGTGTTATTTCTGAGAACTTAGATGGGCTTTACTGCCACGTGAGCTTCCACAGATAGCTTCTAGGTTTCTGAGTTCATGGTTGGAGAAGCATCACAGAGCCCTGGATTCAAATCTCAGCGCTACTTTTAACTAACTGAATGACTTCAGGCAGGTTACTAAATCTCCGTGAACCTTGGTTTCTTCATCTATAAAATGGGGATATTTGTAATTACCTGGACAGTTATAGGTAAAGAATGACTGAGGATAAAGCCTTGAGCTGTAGCACAGTGGCTGGCAGCTGGCCCCCAGCCAGAGCTCAGCAGCCGCCAGTGCTCAGCCTTCCCCCTGACCGTGTCCAGCCGTCACTGTCTCTGAAAACACAGCCGTGTGACGCTGATGACCTGCCTGCTTAAGGATCCAAGGCAGGGGTTGCTGGACCTTGGAGTTGGGGGGCTTTTATTAGAATTAGGTGTTAGGGACCAGGCATCCTCAGAGCGGGTTTCATTTCCTTGATTTTATTGTTAAATGTGACTGCATTTATGAAAGACTGGGAAAAAAATAACCTCCATCTTTAATGTGTGTAATATTCCGCCCTCTAGCGACCCCAACAGTTATTTACCCCTTTCCATTTAGGTGGTTTCCACTTTTCTGGTGTTGGGCCTAACATGTAGTTCTGGGGTGGGTGTTGTGAGGACTGAATGCTTTGGGCGGTGAGGGGCCAAGCTACATCTCGGAAGTACAGAGCTTGCTTTGCCGAAGGGTGAAGCTTCTCATCCCATCAGTCACACTAACTCTGTAGTCAGATCCCCACCCGCCAATACCCTGCTCTGTTATTTTTCCATAGCACTGCATAGGCTGCCATATGATTTTTTTATTTTAATTTAGTGTTTGTTTACTGTCTCCCCGTGCTACAGCATGAACTCCCTGAGGGCAGGGATTCTTGTCTGTTCTGCACCAATGCATCCCAACTACCTCGAGCTAGTAAATGGCACAGAGTAAGCCTTCAGAAAAGTGTGTGTGGAGTAAACGAATGAGCTCCTGGGTAAGAGGCTTGTCCTCAAACAAAGTGATTAGAGCTCTACATAGTAGTAGAGTCAGAGGCTTTTGTCCTTGACTGGACAAGGGACAGGTATTGGGGTAGTTCCTGGGAGGTGGAAAGCAAGAAGGCGTGTTGCATGTGGGGGCAGGTGAGGAATCAAAAGCCAGCATTTGGCAAAAGACCACAGTATTGTGAGTTGCAAGCGCCCACTGGAGCAAGAGCAGGGACAGCAAAAGTGACTCGGTTTGGCAGCCCTCTCCAGTCCCTCCAGTGGTGACAGCCACTGCTCATGCCACTCCTGACTGAGCCTGCATGTGGCCTCAGGATCCTTCTCCACTCACTCTTCCAGGAAGCCACGGCTAGTGGCTTATAAATTGGATCCTGTTGGCTTTGCCTGGACCAGAAAGTAACCATCTTATCCAAGCTTTGGGACGTAATGAGACTTGTGACCTGTAGGAATAAATTAGGGGTGACAGAATCAGAAGCCTGGACTCTCTAAGCCTAGTGAGGGTTTTTTGTTTGTTTTTTGCTTTTTGTTTTTTTTAATTGGGGTAAAATATAAAATTTACTATTTTAACCATTTTTAATTGTACAGTTGAGGGGTGCTATGTGCGTTCACATTGCTGTGCAACCGTCTATCTCCATAAGTTCTTTCGCCTTGTGAAACTGTAACTATTCCCTTTCAATAATCACTGCCCATTGTCCCTTCTAAGCTTGATGGTTTTAGTGCCTGTATTTTATTATCATGCTGCTCTCTTCTGTATCCCATAAAATATTTCAGAAGACAGAGTATATTTCAGCTGTGCTGGGAGAAAGGCCTTTCTTCTATTCTTGAGCCGCAGCTCCAAAGTAGGCCTTTGGGGTGGGGTTGGGGGCAGTGGGGCGACTGGTGATGAAGAGTGAAAGGACCCCTGGGTACAGAGAAATTCACGACAGAGTTGGCCCTCAGGGCTCTCACCTGGCCTTCACCATCCACAGAGAGCTTGAAGGTGTGTTCCAAGCTAGCTCTGAACCCCATGGGCCCTTCATTACTTTTCAAGGGACTTGGAAGCCGATGCTCGAGCCTTGAACTTGAAGAATCTCAGACTATACCCACAGCAGCTTTTGGCTGTCCCATAATTCTAGGTTTGAACATAATAAAGATTCAGCAGTATGACGGCTTCTTAGTCCCTTGATTCTCTGCCATAGGAATAAAAAAATGTAAAATTGGAAAGCGCAAACAACTTAGATTAAGGGGCAGAGCAGAAAAAGGGGGGAAGTATCATAAATAAAAATGGCAGATAATGCAGTGGTATTCTGTCTCCGTGATCCACCTCCTGTTAACCCTGCTGCTCAGTCCCTTCCCTAAAACATTCATGGCTGTCACCTTCCTTCTCTTTGATCTTTCTTGCCAATTACTGAGACACCGTGGCACGCATCCTGATGTATCTTCCTTGTTACAGGCTCAGGCCTGTGGAAGGCTCACAGGAAACTCACCCAAACAGGGTAATTGCCAGCAGCATTAAGAGAATTTAAAATGTTACCTTTTGGATATGTTGGCTTAAGCCAGAAAATAGGAAGGTCGCCACAGAGTTCTAAGACCTTAGAACTCAGGAAGCTGTTGTCCTTCACAGGCTGGTCTACAGCCACCCAGATGAGAGAATTTTCTTCATATTTAACTGGCATGATCTTGCCTTCCTGCAAGTAAGTAAAAATGAAATGCATTGAGCAAAGAGGACAATGAAGCATGCTGTGTATTTAGAGTCACGTGCTGGTAGATTATTTCACCTAATAAAAACTTAATGAGAACTGCATGTGTGTGTGGGATGGCGGGGAGTTGTATATGTATGGGGTGTGTAGGGTGTGGGGGTGTGTATTTGTAGGGGGTATGTGTGGGGTTGGGTGTGTGTGTGTGTGTGGTCTAGTATGTGTGGGCATTTGTGTATGTTGGGGGATATGTAGGATTGTGTGGTGGGTTTGGGGGTATGTATGTGTAGAGGGTGTGTGTGGGGTTGTGGGGTGTGTATGTGGTGTGTGTATGGTGTGGGGATGTGTGTATGTGGTGTGTGGAGATTTGGGGTATGTGGTGTGGGGTGTGTGTGTGGTGTATATGGGGGAGCATGTAGGGTGCGTGGGATGGATGTGGGGGTGTGTATGTGTAGGGGGTATGTGTCGGGTGGTGGGGTATGTATGTGGTATGTGTGTGGTGAGTGGGGATTTGGGATGTGTGGTGTATATGGGGGATATGTAGGGTGGGTAGGGTGGCTGTAGGGAGTATGTGTGGGGTTGTGAGGTATATATATGTGGTATGTATGTGGTGTGTAGGGGGGTGGGGTGTGGTGTGGTGTGTGTCTTGTCTTTGTGACTCTCTGCACAATATTGTCTTTGCCCGCTTGTCCCCCCACCTTTGGATAACTGAAATGTGTGAATACTGAGTGTCCTGAGTGGAAGTGAAAATTACTTGATACCAACTTTGAGACTTAGGTTAATCTGATGTTTTTGATCAAAGATTTTTTGAGGAAAAGCAATTGAATGGACTCTGAAATCCTATAAAGGATAGAGGAGCCCTCATTTGAAGTGAAAATCCTTTGGGGTTTTGTTCTGCAGCTTCTGAACAACAATGGAAAAAAGCAAGTGATTGGTTCTTTAATGTCTTCAGTTCAAAGTATTATTTAACATAAACCATTTCTACATTTCCCAGCTATAACAAAACACATTTCAGGTGTCCCTCACATCAACCACACCACTGAGATTTCAAAGCTAAACCCTGGATTTTCTTCTACCACGAGATGCTGAGAACCGTCTGATAACCCAGAAGACAAATTTATTTTGCCAGGTTGTTCCTTTCATGGACTTGTTAGTTTGCAATAGGCTGGAGAAATTAAAATGTTTTCTCCCTATTTTTAGCTAAAAGCAGCACTTCATTTATACTTTCTCCCCCAGGCTTATGGCTGCATTAAAACAACTTAAAGTTATTGGAGGAAGCTAACACTCAGGTAATCTACTTATTCACCTTAAATTAAATGGCTCCATCCAGGAAATGAATGCTCTTTGGGTATAGCAGCATTTGATGAAAAATTTATAAGGCCAAGTGGTGCATAAATCTACCCCATCATAAGCTAAAGCGTGCGGGGAAAGCGTGGGGTGCTCAGACCTAGGACCTAGGCATCTTACAAGCTGGTGATGTGCAATCAGCTTGCAGCACGTAGTCCCAGCTGCCCACCCCGCCTCACCTCTCCCTGCCCCTGCCACACAGCCCTGCTTTTGTGTGAGGCAGCCGTGTCCCCACCCCCGGAGAGACGCTGTCTGCTCCCTTGCTCAGATCCTCCAGTGGCTAGGGCTGCCCATGTGACCAGTTCTAAACCCTGCAGTTCACACTGAAGTGTGCTGGGGGGCTGAGAAGCCTTCTGTTCCCGATGAAAGGGAAGTCACGGTTGGCACTGCTCAACCTCTTCCTGACTTCCTTCCTTAATGCGTGGTTGATGGTTGGCGCTGGGAAGGAAAGCCCAAAAACATCAGCAATGCTGGCCCCCTCCTAACATTGCCTACTATGAAGAAAAGTCCTTTTGTGTTTCAGTCACTCTGAGTGTAGTTTTCAGCTACTGACAGCTGGACACATTCCCAATTCACACAAACATGTTGCCTGAATCTGGCTTTGTCCACCAGAGGACCCACCAAGCACAATAGAAACAACACAGGAAAAATAATTCGCCTCTATGGTCTAAAGAAAAGAATCAGATGCAGACAAAGCTTGAAAATGCTAAACTGTTCATCACCGTGAATTATTTCTATATTCAAATAATTATTTTGAATTGCTACTTGAAATAGTGAAAAACAGAAGATGGCTAAAGTATTCAAGAACAAAAGACTTAAATTATAACCATCTGATGACATATGATATATTCATTATAATCTACATTTTAGAACTAAAGATAGTAAGAATGCAGAGCAAGATAACTTTAATCATGAAGAGTATCCCACACACCCATGAAAATAATTCACCCAAACATTAACATTAGTATTAACATGAACATCTGTGGATTAAGCAATTGTGGGTGATTTTCTTCTCTATTCTTTTATGTATTTCCCAAATTTTCTGTAATGACCAAGTATTGTTTTTAAGAAATCAGAAAAAACGGGGCGCCTGGGTGGCTCGGTCAGTTAAGCGTCTGCCTTCAGCTCAGGTCATGATCCCGGGGTCCTGGGATTGAGCCGCACATAGGGCTCCCTGCTCAGCCCGGAGCCTGCTTCTCCCTCTGCTTCTCCCTCTTTCTCTGCCCCTTCCCTGCTTGTGCTCTTCCTTTCTCTCAAAGAAATAAATGAAATCCTTAAAAAATAAAAAATTAAAAAAAAAAAAAACAAACTACTTGTTTTTAAAAAGCCCCGGAAATGTACTGCAAATTTAGGATTAGCTCTCGGTCAGCTGTGGCTGGAGAGCCGGCCCTTTCGGAAGCCAGGAGAGGAGAACTGCTTCTCTGGCCGTTTACAGAGAACATGTAAAGGATTCTGTGTTACAGAAATGGAGTGCTAGGACTGTTAACAAAATGGTAATGTGATAAGAGAAGCTCAAGGCTCAGAACAAAGGAGGTCTGGGTGTCATTTTTATAGTATGTACTTTTACGGCCAGCTTTAAAAACTCAACGGTTTGTTGTAGCTTTTGTTTTGTTTTGAGACACCTGCTGCTGCTCCTATGACAGCAAACAATTAGGCAGTTTCCAGGCACCTCTGCTTACTCTTATTTTTCTTCCTTTGCCTTAAGGAAGCTGATGCTGGCTTTACCTCCCTCTCAGGGATACAGGGAGGACCAAAGCTGATCATAATGGAATTAGTAATTTATAGCAGCAGCTGTGTAGTCATTATCCAGTAGGTTCTAAGGCCCTGGGGACAGGAGGCAGATCCTTAGTTTGTAGGTGACAAAACTGAGGTTCAAAGAATTGAAGCCACATCCATAGTGTCAGAGCTGGGATTTGAACCCATATTTTTCGATTTTCGATTTTCTCCCCATCATACCCTGCCACAATTTAAATAGAGGACGATGACGCATGTGGCCACGTTGAAAGCCCTACAGCATGGAATAAATATAAGGTAGTAGATGTGTCTTTAGAATTCTGTGCAATTCTTAAAGTAAATTTTTATAAAATCAAGCTCAAAGGCGAGTTGTTAATAATAAATGGAAGAATTGTGCTTAAAAAATCTCATGAGTCTGACACATAGGAAAGGAATTAATACATGTTAAGGAGCTTCATTGGGCTGAACTCAAGGAGAAGAAACTGTAGGGGGAACCAGCTTGGCTCAGAATAGGCGCAATGGTTTAATCACCCCCCACCCCCACTCCCAAAGTTGCTGGCGCTGGGGGAAGGGAGCTGCGTCGCTGTTTTCCAGCACAGGCGTGGTGATCGGCTGCTGATTTCCAGGAGGAATTCCCACACTGAGTGGAACTGAGGCTAGAAAGCTCCCAAGGCCCCTTTAATGAAGATTCTGTCATGAGAAGTCCTTTACATTGTTTTCATCACTAATCAGTTCCCGCCCCAACATTAGGCAAACAAGGGCCATGTGAAGACCAAGCCCCTTTGTCTGTCAAAGCATGGCACCGGTACCCACCAGCTCAGAAGCGATGCTCTGTTTGGTCACGGTTCCCACCTCAGGAATGCGAGCCTTCACCTGTGCTTTGATGTAGCACTTTTCTCCTCCAGCGAAACGGATTCCGGTGATGCCCTAGGAAAGAAAAGTTCATCCATCCCGCTATGCATTCATTCGTTCATTCAATGTATTTAACCGCGAGATGGGCCCTGTTCCAGGCACTGGGTATAGGGATGAACAGAATGGACTCCCAGGTGTGGCGGGCTCCTCCTCCTCTGCCTTCCACAAGCCTTCCTTCCCCCGCATCTGGCGCTTAGAACTCCATGCCACTCCTTGTCAAGGTTCTGTCCTAACTCAGTTATAAGCCTCTTGACATTAGTATCTGAATCTTTTTCTTTTTGGTGATCCCACAAAGGTTCTCCAAAGATGTGCACCCAATTCATTAATTCCAGGAATTCAGATTTTGCTAAGTCACTGAGGCAGGGAAATAGCAAAGCTCCCTACACCACCAGAAGCTGTCCTTTGTTCCCAGACCTTACTGGAGGACTTGGATGCTTTGTTTCTGTCCCCTGTGAGACACAAGCAGTGTCTCCTGCTTGTCACGCTAGGGACCAGCCTCCGGGGCCACATCAGCCACAGGACTCCGGGCTTGGCTCATGGCTCAGGCCCGATGCTACGGCAGGTGCACGAAGCCTGAGAGCACGTTCTGTCCCAAGGGTGTTTACTTCCACCCTGGTGGAGAACCTGTGGCTTTCATGATGAGTGAGTGGCCAAAAACAGAGGCAAACGCCTACATATTTTATGCCCTAACAACAGACACCCACAGAAATCCAAACATCTCAACTTGTTAATCTTCTGTTCAGTTGAGATGAACGTCAAGAAGATTTAGGACTTGTTCCAGCGTCAGTGCTGCAGGGGGTGGGGGGAAGAAAAGTACTCAGAAATCTCTCGGGGTTTTGACTCGGGACTCAGCCCTCTTCCACGAAGAACAGAGGACATTGACGGCCAGTTCTCCTGTATGTATTCTGAGAGCCAGCAGCCCTAGGGCTGAGGGGCGATGTGCCGGAGCACAGAGAAAGAAAGGCCCCTTCCTCCTAAAGCCCCTCGTGCTCTGCCTTGTAGCCTCATGGGCCCTGTTCACATATGTGACACATGAGTCCTAGCATCACCTCTCACCCAGAAAGAGGGGGTAGCAATATCCTTGCCCTCTCCAGGAGGAGGGACTCCCTGCACCAAAACCACCTGGAGAGATTTAAAAACCGTTGATGCCTGGGGGAATCTCCACAGAGATTCCCACTTAACTGGCCCGGGGCCAGTGCCCATCAGCAAGCTCCAAGCTTCCAAGCTCCCCACATGGTTAGAAAGTATAGCCAGGGTGACAGAGCACCTGTTCAGGGAGAAAAGAATGTACTCCGGATAACAAAGTTGTTAAATGACTGAAATAGCCTACTATACACGGAATGTTTTTGTCCCCTCACCCAGATTCCTATGTTGAAACCTCCCTGCAGTGGGATGGATTTGGAGGGAGGGCTGTTGGGAGGCGATGGTGTCCTCGAGGCAGCGCCCTCGAGAATGGGATCAGTGCCCTCCCGAAAAGGACCCCGGAGAGCTCCCTCACGCCTTCTGCCCTGTGAGGACACGAGAAGATGTTCCAACTACGAACCAGCAAGCAGGCCCCCAAGAGATGCTCACCTGCTGGTGTCTTAATCTCGCACTGCCCGGCCTCCAGAACTGTGAGCGATTTCTGGTGTTCAGAAATCCCCCAGACTCCGGGAGTTTGTTACAGTAGCTTGAACGGGCTAAGGCACAGCCTTCGAATTCAAGTTTCTTCTGTACCAGCGGCTCACAAATTGCCCCTGGCATCAAATTCACCCAGAAGACCGGATCAATAAAAATCACGTTGGGTCCCACCCCTGGAGTTTCTGACACGGTAGGTCTGAATGGGGGCCATGCTCCTCTCTTCAGTGCTGCTGCCGCTGGTGGCCTGGGGAACACCTTTGAGAACCACTGCTCCCTGCTCTCTCCTTGAAGGCCTGCTGCTCTTATTCTGCATGTGAATCTAGGGCTCACAGAAAAACAGAATGTGGTGGCTGTGGGGGGGATGACTGCCGCCTTCATTTGATATGTTCCCTCCACCTGCAGCCCCCACATTCTCTGAAGGTAAGTTGCAAGGGAGGAAACACCATATCGCCACGACCATATCCCCAGAGGACAGGGCTGAGTCTATTGAAAGATTTGCAGCCCTGAATGTGAATCTAGTATTGAGCTAGTTCTGACAGTCTACACGCTGCAAAGAGAACTGAAACCCCACAGGGATGGGTCCTGCGGGAAGGAATTCACACATATTAACCAACTTGTCTGGCTACAAATCCATATCAAGCAGCCAGATATATTAAGAGATTAAACAGAGGGAATGGGAAAGCACAGGAAAGCCAAGCAAACCCCTGTTTCTGCAAACAAACAAGGCCTTAGAAGCTGGTGCTAATGAAGAAATTTGCTAGCAAAGATAATGAGTGCAGAGTCCAATGCTCTAGCATTTTTTTTAAAATAAGAGTCAGCGATCTCATTTTAGCTGCCCGTTTTTTTTCTGTCTAGAGGATCTAATGGAATTCTGTGGGTTAAACTAGAAGTTTCCAAGAAGGGGTCCTTCCCCCAAGAGGGCACTTTAGAAATCTTACAGAGAGTTTTTGGTTGTCACAAAGACAGGGTGATGGGGGGGCTCTCCTGGCCTCCCGTGGGCAGGGTCCAGGGGGCCGGGTCCCACAGAGCCCAGGGAAGTCCTGCAGAACCGAGCACCCCGGGGCCTGGCTGGAAAACCTGGTTGGAAGGATCTGTGCCTAGAATCTAACATGCTTTTACATATCGACACAACATGACTTCCGGCACAGTCTCAATGCACGAGGACATTCTGAGGAATGCAATTACCACGAAAACGGACAGAAAATTGTGGTTTGTTCACTGAGAAAATAACCTGGTATTTGCCAACACACACTTAAGTCAGTCCGTATTTTTAGCTGTGGCACTGTGAGGGATACCCCCTCTTGGAGCAAGTGCGTGACGTCATGATGTTTCTAAGTGCATCAGGCTGAGCGTTTGCATACAGAAGTCCCAGTTATAGTATGAATCGCTTTTGTCTTATGTTTCTTTGCTGTTATAGTTGGGGCCATTTTTTTGTAAACTTTTTTTTTTTAGTATAGCTGACAATGTTACCTTAGTGTCAGGCGTGCAAGATAGTGATTCAAGTCTTCATGTGGTGGTGTACTTACGAGTGTAGCTGCCATCTGTCACCGTACAACCTATTACATGCACAATATATTCCCTCTGGGGGGCATTTCACCTCTGTGACGTATTCATTCCATAACTGGAAGTCGGTATCTCCCTCTCTCCTTCACCCATTTTGCCTATCCCGTCATCCCTCTCCCCTTTGGCAACCATCAGTTTGTTCTTTGTATTTATAGGTCTGATTCTGCTTTTTGGGTTTTTGTTGTTGTTGTTGTTTGTTTATTCATTTGTTTTTTAGATTCTACATGTAAGTGGAATCATACAGTATTTATCTTTCTCTGACTTATTTCACTTAGCATCAATCTGTCTAGGTCCATCTACCTTGCTGCAAATAGCACTATCTCATCTTTTTCATGGCTGAGTAGTATTCCACTATATATATATATATATATATATATATATATATATATATACCATATCTTCTTTATTCATCTATTGATGGACACTTGGGTTGCTTCCATATCTTGGTTATTGTAAAAAATGTTGCAATAAACATAGGGGTGTACATATCTTTTTGAACTAATGTTTTCATATTCTTTAGGTAAATACCTAGTACTAGAATTATTGCACCAAATGGTATTTTCATTTTTAATTTTTTGATGGTTATATTGATTTTTGAAATCACTAACCTACCTACCTACCAGGTGTAGGTTATGTAGGTTATGTAGGTTATGTAGGTTAACCTACCAGGTAGGTTATGCTATTTTTTTTTCTTTCCTTTGGCTTTTTAAATTCAAATGTTCAAATATACACAAAGTTAAAAGAATTGGGGAGTGAACACTTGTATATACCCACTAGCTGATTCTATCTTAATTTCTAACCAGGGTTTACATTATATAAATGAGTCATTAGGCCAGAAAGGATTGGCTTAAGCCAACAGCATTTACGCTTCTGAGGGTAAAATGTTTTAGAATATAACTCATACACTCTGAACAAACCCCTCTTTGTATTCCTTGAGGGCACTGACAAAGACCCTCCTTGACTCACCTCGAGTCAGTCTCCTCTGAGTCCTTTTTTTGACCAGGCCCCAACTGTGGGCTCTGCCTTGGTCAGTTTATTCCAGTTTGAGCAAGAATCCAGCTGACTTGGCCTAGATCTGACCACCCTTGATACCTGATCACCCTGGCTTGCCTTTAGCAACAATCCTGTTGGTTCAGTTTAGTAAAGAACTACTCCATAGCTTAGTAAATTTCTATCCACCAATACCCCTACCCTACTCCTTGGCTATAAACGCTCATTTTTCCTTACCGTATTCAGAGTTGAACACAATCTCTCTCTCCCCTACTGTAAAACCACACCGTAGTAGCTTCCTTTGAATATGGCCTGCCTTCTCCTTTTTAACAAGTGGCCTGGATAATTTTTTCTTTCACAGTATACAGCCTAGCGCCCTTAGTTCAGGGCTATTCTCTTTTGCGAGGGCCTTGTTCCCCACTGGCTCTACTAAAACCTAGGTGGAGTCCTAGCTCAGCAGGGGAGACTGTTCACTGTTCACAATTTGGAGCCTTTCCTAATTTGGCTCTACCCCTCTGCTCCCCTTCCCCACCTTCCACCACACTGGGCTCCTTAGAACTCAAGAGTGGGCCTGTGCATTTGTATTCGGGACTCCTCTCTGGGTCTGGAAAGCCCTGCCCCTACTTCTTTGCTGGTGGAAATCCTCATCATTCTTCAAGACCTGATGCAGCTGTCATCACCTCTGTAAAACCTCAGCTCCAAGTTGCCAACAGCTGTCCCCCAACCCCTCACCCCCCACCACTGGTATGTTCCATTCTGTTCACAGCTCTGTCATAGCACATTTCCCAGGTGGGCCTGAAGTCACTTCTGCATGGCATGTCTGCCTCCTGGTCTAGACTGCAAGGTCCTTGAGGGAGGGACCAAGTGTCAGAGCATCCCTTGTGCTTAGCACTGTCCCTTGCACATAGTAGGCCTTGATAAACACCTCTTGAATCTGATGGATGGTTTAAAATATAGGAGAAAGTAATAGTGCAGGTGCCATAGTGGCTGATTCATGTGTTTTCAAAAGTCCAGGCTTGTTTAAACCCCTAACAGGTTCCATCCATCAAAAAAATGTCCTACTCACCAGTTCTGACTTAGAGAAATGTGGAAGCTATCAAAGAGAATTGATCAGTTTATAAAATATTTGTGGTCCTGTTGGCCTACGAGGACAAAACACAATCAATACCATTATTAGAACCGAAGGATTATAAAACAGAAATATAGGTTTGGGATTAAAATATTTTAAAAGTGTATTCCTGATTCATGCACGTTTGAGAGACATAGATCTTTTCTTATTCATCTGTGTACCTCCCTTTGCGTATCTTGATCTTGTGACACATCGTAGGTATTCAGTTCTGTTCTGGATTGAATGATGTGTGTGTGGGAGCTACATTTTGTCATCTTTCATTGAGCAGTACAAAGAAAAAATGCTTTTACCTTGTCCTGGGTCTAGCAGTAAAAGCCTTTAATACGTCCAGAGAAATTATCTTTGTGTACTGACCAGAACCATTCGCAAAGCTCTGACTAAATGGTCACATCCAGGGCTGCAAAGCCCACCCCTCCCCCCGGCCCCCAGCCAGAGCCCACTCTGAACATAGCCAGTCCTTGTCACAGCAAGGAATACCTAACATCACCCATCCTCGGAGATCCAAGGTTAGCATCTCTTTGGTATTCAACGGGACTCGTGAAATGCCTTTTGGCATCAGCAAGGGGAGTTCTTTCATTCAAATGAAAAGCATCTCTAGTTTTTCTCATCAATTGGAGCAAGGCGGGTCGATGGGATGTTCGTAGGCCAATAAACTATCAGAAGAGACATTATTTTCAAGTGCCTTTTTTCATTATCAAGTCTCACCTACTCCATCTACAGATTTAACAGGAGAACACAAACAGTGATGCCTTTTCCTCATCTTTGAACATGAAGGGAATAAAATATTTACGTGGGCCAAGAGGAGAGAGGGCCCCGAGGGCCGCTGTGTTGAGGTCCTACACTGAAGCACGGTCGCAGAGCTTGATGTCTCAAATTGCCTGTAAATTGAACTTATGAAAACAAACGTGTTTGCCCCTCTCAAAGGAGACTCGAATGTTTTATCTGTAATTGGCCATGGTCGGAAAACATAGGATTATGGTAGGGGAATTTCTCCATGCTAATTTTCTGGATTAAATGGGAAATCTGAAGAATGGAGAGAAGTACGTAAGTAGATCCCACCAGTTGTTGATGAGATTGCCAGGTCATTACAATTTCCCTCCTCTCTGCAGGCTCCCATTTCAGACCTCGGAACATTCTGGGGGTGCTCTGAGCATTTTTTTCACTGTGTTACAGAAAATAGGTCTTTCGAGTCCTTCTGCCAAGACTTTTATATAGTTCCAAGTACCTGTTCTTTTCAGTGCCAACATGTTGTTTTTTCATTTAGAAAATATAAAGGACAAAGAGTGGTCCTTTCTCAGAGAGAATATGCTGCCTAATGTATGTGAATTAGTGGCGCCATGACTGCCATAAAGAACAGTTACCGTTTGGTTGTGTGTGAGAGATGTTGCTTCTGCCTGGATTAGGAGAGCCTTGCAGGCTTGCCTAGTTAAACTCTCTAAATGCATGAAATATACTTACATTCTGGAAATCATTAACTTCAATTGCTTCTTCAGCTCCACTTCCCATTTTAAAGGTCTCCAGGTTGTTCCCAGTATCTATTTCCATTGACCCATCTTGTAATTTCCCATTGATACTCATGGTATAATGGACATTGTAAATCTGGAAGGGAACACAGGAGTCAGTGATGCTTCCTTTTTAGAGCAATTCAGGGCTTATCTTTAGACCTGCAGTATAGGAGGTGGCTTTCACATCTGTTAGAGATATACCGAATGATCATTAATATATGTACATATAAGGGCTTCATCTGTACACCCAATCACTTAATACAATGATTTCTTTAAAAATGCCTTAAAACCGAAAGCTCTGGTAGTCTTGGATACTTATTCAAATAGCGAAGTGATCTGCGATCTTGGCTGCGCCCTACAGGTATCTGCGTAGAAGTTCCAGCTTCCGCGCAAGCGTGTCCTGGAATCAGACCCTGTGGGGATGGGGCTTGGATGTAGATCTTTCTTTTCCTAGATCAGTTCTACTTTGCAGTCAAAGTTGAGAGCCATCGATGGATAAATGGTTAACTGGGCTGTTAACTGAACAAGTCTGCAGTGGCACCTCAATTTGAAAGGTTTTTACAACATCCTCTGGTATAGAGTGAGGAGTACAGGCAGGGCTGGGACATGCCGGATGTAGAGCAGCGCTTGTGGAGATCAAGGTCAATGTGCACATCTGTTTCAGCTCAAAGTGAGAGTTAGTCATTTTAATGACTATGGGACAGGCATATGGTGTTGTAGGGCATATTGTTAGGAGACGTATGGGGGAAGAAGGGAGGGAGACTTGGCATGGGAGAAGAGCAGCGGTCCACGAATCAGAAAAACGAGGGGCTGCACCACTTATCCCTGGGTCTTGGGAGGTGCCTTGGGTGTAAAATGAAGAAGCTGGGCCATATAGATGGTGTTCATTTCTGTCCTTCGAACTTGGAGGCTTCACAGAGATGGCCCAGAGGTGACGGTGGCAGACCAGATGGGATAGTGACGGTCGTCCTTTCTCTCCCATCCACCTACAATTTAGCTAGAGCGGCTCTGCTTGCTATCTGTGTTATGTGTTGGATTTCTGAGTAAAATCTTAAGAAAAATAATCCCATGAAATATTTTTTAGTTTACCACTAAATTAGATCACCCAAAGGGCTCTCTTAGTTCAGACATCATGTAAGTACGCTAACAAAATAACTCACACATTGCTCCTGCTCAGTGTGTGGCTACCCTGCTTGAACTTTCTCTGTGTTTTGGGGTAATAGGTGGGTCTTACCTTCCCTCTCTTCCCTCACCTTCCCTCTTTCTTTTTCTGACTTAGAAGCAAATGTATGTGTGCGTATCTCTATATATCTTATGTGACATAGAAGATAAAATCTTTAGAGAGGAAGGATCAAGAACTGATAAGAGACACTTGCTACTTAGTGTCAGGTCAGTAGGTCAGAACTTCAAATAGCTGAGATTCAGTTCAAGTCTGATTTTCTCCCTCATTATGAAGAAAGACTGCTACATGGACAGACCCTGGAAGAAGTATCTGTTATTACCGGATCATTACTTGTAGAAAACTCATTATCACGAGACCCACAGAGCACAGTTTTATTTTACCAGCAGAGATGTAGAAATGGCTTTGCAAAGCAGTCCCCTTCTGGGCAATGGCCTTTATTCCGCAGCATAGAAAATCCTGGCACGCAATTTCAGCCGACCGTCTCTCCAGTGCCCTTCCTTCTGCCCTGCACTGGGATCCCTGTGGTATGCTGTCCCCAACGCTTGCCCGATCACAAGAACCACTTCTAGTGGTTCTGATTTACCAGAATTTGGGGCAGAGCCCACCAGTCTGTTTGCCTCTGCATCTCAGGGGGTCCTCGTGATCAGCCCAGTTTGGGAAACCTGTTTTCTTTGGCTGAGCCGGTGCTTTCTGCAGGTAAACTTTAGAAAGCGGGCCCTGTTCTGTCCCTGGGCTCTCTGAGCAGCCACCACTCACACGGGCTAAGCATGACCGTCAGAGGGAGTATGGCAGACCACATGTGTGTGAGTTCTTGCTGCAACAAGCGTCCCTCACTTGTACAATAAGAAGCTGTGTGTGTGTGTGTGTGTGTGTGTGTGTGTGTTTGAGAAAACATTGCACATAAGCTTTTACTCGTAAGACAATGCAAAATTTCACAAATGAACCATTTCCAAGTTCTTAGCGGGTCTTAAGGAGACAAAATTAGAATACTAGAAGAGTGGTTTGTGGTCCTAATTTTCCTTTCCCCCACTCCCACCCCCTTTGCCCGGAAAGAAGCTCCCTGGCCAGGCAGAGGACCTGCATCATTTGTAACGTAGCTCAGCCGATCCTACAGAAGGAGCGCACTGTGCTCAGGGGTGGGGGGTTGGGGGGGTGTCTGTGGGAGGCCTGTGCCCTGGTGAAGTGAATGGTGGGAGAGTCCACAGTCCAAAGCTTTTTCCAAAGTCCTGAGCCCTGAGCTCAGGGGGCTGGGCTGGTGGGGCAGTGGTCACATTGTCTGCTGAGCCTACAGAGCCGTTGGCACCTCAGGAGATTCTCTGAATACAAGGGAGTTTATTATTTGCCAAAATTCTGTTCCATACAGTGCTTTTTGCGGCCAGGAATATTTGCTAATGAGTTTCTAATGAAGCCTGGGTTCTATAAGATTCATGACATCATGTTTGGGACACTCTCTAGAAACATCAGTCTGAGAATAAAGGTCTCAAGCACTGATCTCATCCCCTCCTCCCACAGAGCAGGGTTGCTGGCTCTCTCTTCTTGGTGGGACTTTCCTCATATTTCAATACTTGTTCCATGTACAGTCACGTGGATGAGACATGGCCTCAGTATTTGAGCCCAGGCACTTGTCCCCCAATTGTGAGCACTCTCATGCTTCCTAGTCCCCCAGATGACTTCCCATAAACCTGTCCTGAGGGGATTTGCCCATATGAAAGGGAGAGGAGGGGAATGACAGCTGGTTCTCCTCTATAAACTAATATAGAGGGGCGCCTGGGTGGCTCAGTGGGTTAAAGCCTCTGCCTTCGGCTCGGGTCGTGATCCCGGCGTCCTGGGATTGAGCCCCACTTCGGGCTCTCTGCTCAGCGGGGAGCCTGCTTCCCCCTCTCTGCCTGCCTTTCTGCCTACTTGTGATCTCTGTCTGTCAAATAAATAAATAAATAAAATCTTTAAAAAAAAAACAAAACTAATATAGAAAAGCAGAGCGTGGATTCTTCCTGAAGAGTGGGGAAGTCCGTTTAGTGGTGGATGTCTTTTGTCTGATGGAGACTTACCTCTTTGGGTTTATGTTTTGTTTGGGCTATTTATACTTGTGTTCAAGGAAAGCACACCTGAGCGTGTGCTCCGCAGAGAGGGTGCCAAATGGACCCTATTTCGTGTTTTGTGATTTGTTTTTCAGACTTAAGTAATCTAGAGCAGCACCAAATATTTTGGGAGTAAAACAAAACAAAACAAAACAAAACAAAACAATACGTGATTTTCTGCATTCTTCTGCCTGTACAGGAAATAGAAACAACGTTGATTGTTGGCAATAAAATGTGATTCACTATTCCTCTGTAGTCTTGGAATTTAATACCGCTCTCTTGAACCAGACTCTTGTGGTGAAGTATGAGATGAAAAGACGGAGCCTCACTTAAGATGATCATTCAGTCTCTCTTTTTAGAAGCTTGTCAGTTAGTTGTATTTGCCTTGAATAATTAAATGCCAAATAGTATTCATTTGAATATACAGCATGTCTAAAATCCCTACCCTCCCCCCAAAAAAGCAAAGCTATTTTTACCTCCAAATGACCTATAGCACTGAGGCTTTGTCATCTAAAAGATAGCATTTGCGGTGGAATACCATACAATTTCCCAAGGGATGACAATCTCAACCCTGCTATTAATGGAGAAGGAGATCTTGAAATCATTCTCCTGTTCGGATTTGCTGCTTTCAAACATGAGAATCTGGCCTAACTTCTATATTTAAAATACAAATACATTAAGGCACTTTTCAAATATACACAAAATACTGTGCAGTTCTGATCTTACAAATCGATGCTCGTAAATTTGATATAGTCTCTCAAACAGACTCAGTGCTAAATGGCATGATTATCTACAGTAGGCATTTGAGTTAAAAATACAAATTATGCAGTGACTGCAGAAGATGTGATGTGTAAAATGGTTGAATTGCTTTTAGCACCATTTTCTCTAAGTACTGGAATTCGTTCATGCTTTGAATTTCATGGTGGGAGAGAGGGGTGGGGTGACAAACAGCAGTCACAGATCCTCTGAGGGTAGTGATTAAGAAAAAGCCCTTTGTGTGCATCCTGGAGATGGAATTCTTTTCCATTAGTGGAAATAAGCTTATACCAGGCCTGGCAATGGTCATCAAGATAAAATGCCCCCCTCCCCTTTAGAGAGGTGAACAAAATTCAGAGTACTTTGAGAACACCCTGGAATTCTGCCCAGTCATATTAGAAGCGCTTTGTATATGCTTTGAGAGCCAATGGAGCTTTAAAATAAATAGTTACATTCAAAGAAAGTAGGACAGCAGTTAGTGAAACATTTACCATTAAATCACACGTGACTAGGCCAGAATTGATTTTTAAAGAGATTTGCCACCTTTAGCGAAGTTAGCCCATTTCTTTTCCTCAGGGCAAGAGAGAAGGGAGCATTCATGGAGAGGTCACATGCAGTGAAAGAAACAAAAACTCTTGAAAGGTCAAGTTCGTCCCTGCTACTGGGTCTGACTATTCCCCAGGCCCATCTTTGCCCTAGGCTCTTAAATTCGTAGCCTTTCTGGGCTGGGAAGGGCCTTGGAGATGACTTAGCTCCAGACAGGTGAGGGGCCTCACCGACAGTCTCAGGGCCGCTGGCAGCAAGCGCCAGGCTGAGATCCTCCGGAAAGGGCCTTCCTCCAACTGTCCCCTGCGTTCTCCCGCTACTCTATGTTTTAATATCCCCCCTTAAAACTCTGACTTGCTTCTCAACGAAGTTGCCGAGAGCGGAAAGCAGCTGGTGGAATTGGAAGAAGAAGGGAGAAGGTGCCCCGGGGGACCTAGAGAAAAGCGGGGGCAGGAGGAAGGGGGCCCGCGGGCAGCGGCGGGCGCCCCCCCCCGCGGCCCAGCGCTCTGGCTCCACCTGGGTGGGGGGGACAAGCGGGTGACAGTGAGGACGCCGCTGCCCCGCGCGCCTCCCCGCCCCGCGCACCCAGACTCGGGTCCGCACCCCGCGCGCCGCCTCTGGACTTACGTGATTGTCGCTCCCCTTCCAGAAGTAGAAGGCCCCGATGGCCCCGAAGAGCAGCAGCACCGCCCCCGAAATGAGGACCACAGCTCCGACCTTGAGCAGCCGCGCGGGGCTGGAGGGTTTCACGGTCACCGTGGCGTATGCCTGCGGGCCGGGGTCGGGGAGGTCGGGGAGGGGGGGCCGGTCACGTCGGCACCGCCCGCACCCCCGCACCCCGCACCTCCCGTGGAGGTGGGAAACGGCGCGTCCCCTTTCGCCGCGCTCCGTCCCGAAGGTCCCTTGTACTCAGGCGTGGATGTGCGATCAGCAAACTTTTGCCCGAGGAGGGCCAGGGCCCCGCGGCTGTGCACGCTCCGCCCGCCACAGGACGCCCGCTCCTGCGTCCGGTCCCACCCTCCCCTTCACGGCCGTCTGGGGTCCCGAGAACCCTGCACACGCGCGGGGTTGGGCACCAGCCTCCCAGATTCGGTGGCACAAATCCCTGACTCCGGGCAGTGGATTCGGACCCGCGCGCAAAAGCCGGGCCCTGAGTGTCCACTGACCCGGCAGTGGGACCGGGAATCCCGAGCCCTACTCACCGGGGGACTGCAAAACTCGACGTCGTCAGGCCCCACCAGGGCGATGGGAACTTTGTCGGAGTTTTCTGTCATGGCTGTGGCCGGAGGAGCGAGACCCTGGCAGCCTCCGCGCGCGCCCTGGGCTCTGTCCCGCTGCCCCGACGTGCCGGGCATTTCAAGGCCGAGCACACACAGTGCCCTGTCCCACCCGGGCCAGCCCAGCGGTCCCCACCCCTTCCAGAGCCTCACCTCTCTCCTCCCTTCCCTCTCCCGCCCCAGCCGCTGTGTGAGCTCGTCCTGCATTCCGGACCCTCTCCTGTCTCCTACCTCCCACCCCACCCCGCCCCAGCGCCCTTAGTGTGTGACGGTGGGGATGGAGATGGGAGGGTTGGGTAGAGGATGCCGAGTCCTGCAATCCCAAAAATGTGACAGTGCCAGGACTCTTTCTACCATCCAAAGATCTCTTTAAATGTCAGAGGACCCTGCTGTGACATGGTGCTGGAGGTGCTTTTCCTGACTTTGTGTGTGGGTTGGAAGCTGGTAGAACAGGACAGAGTGGAGAGGAGAGTCTGGCACTGCTGGCGGGTCCCTGGGACTAGAGCACTGAGCAGGGCTGGGAGATGGCCCTGGTCACCCATGTCTCTAGAAGGTCTAGGAGGAGGATAGAGCGCTAGCCAAATCAAAAGCCAAGCAGAGGAAGCTGGAGGGAAGGAGTTGGGGAGACCAGAATGACAGTGCATTGTTTGGTGGACTTCGTGAGTTAAACAAACAAATCAACAATGGCAACACATACGCACCTTGAAAACATTATGTCCGAAGGAATACCTAAAACATATATTTTTTAAAAAGAACAGTGAAAGTATTTTTCACTTTTGGAAATGCCATCTGCCACTATTAGGATGACAGAGCACCTCATTTTGGAGCCAAGCTTCATTAATTCATACTGAGTTCTAGCTTTGTGCAGAGGCCTCTGCTGGGTGAGTCATCAGGTGCAAGGGTCCAGGAGAGGAACCCAGGTGTCCTGACTGAAGGGAGATTGGATGGGCAGGGCGGCAGCAGGAAGAGGTGTTCTATTCTGGGTTGCTGGAGAGGGAGGACGTGTGACAAGCAGGGTGCAGTGGGGCCAGGAAAGGAGGCAAGAATGGAACCGGCGCCCACAGAAGATGTCTGTAGGAATTGACAGCTGTTGGGCTGGAGAGACGGAGGGCCTCCCCTCTATTGTCGTGGGTGGGTGAACTGGTACGACTCTTATGGAAAATAATTTAATTCCAAAATGCAAAATACAGTCTCATTTCTGTGGATCCATCCCACAGACACACTCACAAGGGTGGAAAAATCCTATATATGCAAAGATATTCATTGCAGCATCTTCATTAGAACAAAGGACTGGAAACATCTTGGGTGTCCACCGTGGAGAATTTATGGTACGTCCTCACAGAGGGTTCTTGGCAGTGATTTGAAAGAAGGGAGCAGCTTTGGATTTCCTGATGTAGAGCACTTCCTAACATATTTTATGTGAAAAAAGACAAGGGTTGGAAATGTGTATAAATGCCTTTTTTTTTGTATCAAAAAAATGCAAACAAGATTATATATATGTTTATGCTCTCTGAAAAGATACACAAGATACTGACAACAGGGGTTGCCCCTGAGGAGAGCTGGGTGGCTTGGGGACACCATGGAAGGGAGATACTTCACTGTGTGTCTTCTGGAATGTTCAAATTCTGTATTGAGAACCCTTACTAACTTCATAAAATGAGTGAATGAAATAATAAATAACGGCGAGGTGGGGAGGAAGTGCACGTAACACACGAAGACAGTTCTTTCAAGAACTTTGGCATTGAGGGGAAAAAGAAAGTAAGGGGGCTGGGTCAAGGGAGTTGGAGGATAGGGGTGCCTGGGTGCCTCAGTCATTAAGCATCTGCCTTCGGCTCAGTTCATGACCCCAGGGTCCTGGGATCAAGCCCCTTGTGAGGCTCCCTGCTCAGCCAGAAGCCTGCATCTTCTCCCTCTCCCACTCCCCCTGCTTTTGTTCCCTCTCTCACTCTCTGTCAAATAAATAAATAAATAAATAAATAAATCTTAAAAAAAAAAAAAGGGAGTTGGAGGATCAAGAAAGTTCTCCCTGACCCACTCCCACACCCCCACTGGTCCCCCCAAGCTGGAAAGACCTTTGAAGGCCACAGGGAAAGAGATGACAGAAAGATAGGGAAGGAGGGGGTGAAGCCAAAGCAAGCAGGAAGATAAAGCTTGAGGAGAGAGGGACTGGTAGGAGTAAGTGATGGCAGGGATGTTCTGGGGACACATGGGCTCTGTAGAGAGGTGCACTAGGGAAGGGTGAGGGGTGGGGGAGAAATGCAAGTTTCTTTTTTTTTTAATGAGCCCCCCTTTTTAAATTAACTATAATGTATTATTTGCTTCAGGGTACAGGTCTGTGAATCGTCAGTCTCACATATATCACAGCACTCACCATAGCACATACCCTCCTCAATGTCCATCACCCAGCCACCCTATCCCTGCCCCCCAACACCCCAGCAACCCTCAGTTTGTTTCCAGAGATTAAGAGTCTCTTATGGTTTGTCTCCCTCCTGATCCCATCTTGTTTCATTTTTTCCCTGCCTACCCACCACAACCCCCTGCCCTGCCTCTCAAATTCCTCATATCAGAGAGATCATATATAACTGTTTCTCTGATTGACTTCTTTTGCTTAGCATAATACCCTCTAGTTCCATCCACGTCATTGCAAATGGCAAGATTTTGATTTTTTTGAAATCTAATTTGATTAGATTTTAGTCCTTTTATTTCTCCAGGAAAGGATTTTATTTCTCCAGAAAGGGATTCTCTAGTATCTTCCATGCTTTTTTTGAGCCCAGCTTTTTTTGAGCCTTGATAATCGAAATTCTGAACTCTAGTTCTGATGCATTACCAATGTCCGTATTGATTAGGTCCCTAGCCGTCGGTACTGCTCTTGTTCTTTTTTTGTGGTGAGTTTTTCCACCTTGTCATTTTGTCCAGATAAGAATCGATGAATGAGAGAAAATACTAAAAGGGTAGCAACGACCCCAGAAAAATAGACACTAAGTAAATCAGAAGAGACTGAAACTGGGGGAGAAGAAAGGAGGGGGGGAAATATATATATGTGTGTGTGTGTGTGTGTGTGTGTGTGTGTGTATTAGACTGGTGACTAAAACAGAGCCACACACTTGATTTGGGGTGTATTTTGGTCTGTTAGTAGAAACTACCTCCCAAAATTTTAAAGAAAGAAAAACATCATACACACACACACACACACAAAATAAAGGCAAACATGATTAAGGGATGGAATATGACTGTAAAGATGAAAATTAAAAAGGATTCCAGAAAAGGAATTGGCAAGATAAGAAGTTGGTTGAAAAAAGAGAGGAAAAAAAAAAAAAAAAAGGAGGAAAGAATGTGATCAGGCTGGAGACTAGAACAAAGCCATCCACTATATTTATGGTATATTTTGATCTATTAGAAGAAATTGTATCCCAAAATTTTAAAGAAAGAAAAACCTATATGTATACAAAAAATAAAGTTAAATACAATGAAGGGATAAAATATGACTATAACAATGAAAATTTTAAAATTTTTCTAAAAATGTATTGATAAGATAAAATAGTTAAAAAACATTAAAACAGGAATGAGGAAAGATGAAAAAAGAATAGGATAAGAAAAAAATAAAATTTAAAAAATTTAAATTTGAAAAAAAAATTAAATTTGAAAGTCTAAAGAACCATGGGGGAAAAGCCGTGAATTCTATGTGTTGTTTTCCCCTAACACTGCTGTTCTGCAGTTCTTGTTCATCAGTGAGCTTGGTCTTGGCTAGTTGTCCTCGCTGATCTTCTGGGGAAGGAGCCTGTTGCAGCGATTTCTCAAATGTCTTTCCCCAAGGCGGAATTGCACTGTCCTTGCCAGGGGCCGGGCTAAGTAATCCGCTTGGGTTCGCTCGTGGAGCTTTTGTTCCCTGAACGCTTTCCACAGAGTTCTGGAGGACGGGAATGAAGATGGCGGCCTCCCAATCTCCGGCTTGGAGGAGCTGAGGGCTTGGAGCCCCACTCCTCAGTGCGCCCTTGGAGAAAAGTGGTCAATCCCTCCTGCCTCTGTGGTCTCTGGCCCACGCTCCGTGCTCCCCTGGCCTGTGACTGAGCGTTTCTATCACAGGCACACAGCCCCATTTGGAGTCTCCAAACCCTGCAGGTTCCTGCAGCCTGCTCATGCTCTGGCTCCCTGCCCCCGGAGGAGGAAGGTGAGTCTCCCTGGTTCTGCTGCTTGTAGGGTCCCTGCCCAAAGAGCAGTGACCTGACTGTGCCTCGGATCACAGTTTAAGGTAACCCAGAGCTGAAAGCTCACTCCTTGGCTCTGTCTCTGCAGCTGGCTTCCCTGCTCCGATACCTGGGTGCTCTGCTGCACTCAGACACCCCCAGCCTCTCTGTGACCCCCGGGGACCTGAGACCACACTGTCCCCGTGAGGGCTCCAACCCCACTTAGCCCCTGGAGTGACGTCCCTCGGTGGAGCAGACTTCTAAAAGTTCTGATTTTGTGCTCTGGGTCTTCACCACTTGCTGGGAGCTGGTACCTCCCCCTGATCCCCCACCGTGGTCTATCTTCTGATATCACCTCACATTCACTTCTCTGCACATCCTACCTTCCAGGAAGTGGTCACTTTTCTGTTTATAGAATTGCTGCTATTCTTCTCTTCAATCTCCTCTTGGGTTTATAGGTGTTCAGAATCGTTTGATAACTAGCTAGCTGAACTCTTGGGACCCGATGATATTTAGGTCTCCTACTCTTCCGCCATCTTGCTCCTCCCCTGAAATGCAAGTTTCTGTCTCATTCATACAACAAATGGGGGTAAGCGGTGGGTGGGGAGACCATGGCACCCTCTGAGCTCATTCTGTTGAAGTGGCATATTTTCAACAATTTTAAAGGAATATGTTTACATGAAGATGGTCAACAGTGATGAGAAGATGGGAGGAGCAGCACAGTGGGAGTCCCGTGGAGAAGGGGATCAAAGGGTGCCCATTTCATAGACTTTCTCCCCTCTCCCACCTACTGATGGACCTGATTCATAGGCTCTTTCCTTGGAGGTGACAGCCCAACTCTGCCCTGTGTCAGGCACTGTGTCAGGTCTGGGGACACAGCAACAAGAAAATGAGACAGGGTCCCAGTTCTTGATCTGCCTC